CTCAACGGCCCCAAGATCCCCTCCAGCTCTATTGCCCGCCATATATTGGACTGCAAAATTTGCATCGATCCAAAGCAGGCATTCTGGGTGTTAAACCAGCAGAAAACTGGGCGTTTGTTGCGGTTTGCTGAGGCCGTAGCCATTCGGCGTCACAAACCAGATCTATGCAAACAATTAGACTTTGTGGCCAGCCTAACCCTCCCATGGTATCGCTGTCACCGTGATCCAGATCGGTAAACATGTTCTCCCACCCTATCCCTCTGTTCAACCTGACTGTGATTGGTGACCTTTGACCTTCGCACTGATTTTGCCTAGTCGAGNCGATGCTCGTTGTTGCTCTTATGATGGTAATTAGTGTCTCTAACCACCGGTTACGATCTTTCCGAGGTCCCCCATCAGCCCTTTCGCAGACCCACCATTTTTGGCTTCCTCGATCGATCAATCTATTTTCTGACGCTGCTTTTCCCTGAAGGCTGTACCCGATAAGTTTATTTCAATTTTGCATTCTCTTCCTACTAAGAGCCGAAGCTGAGTCTCAGCTTACGGCCCAAGTTCACCATGGACAGTGGTGCTCGTCAGTTTGCCCCTTTTCCGCTTCTACTCAACCTCCATATGTATTTGATTATGGAAGCTGTCTTTTCGTCGTACGAAGATAGTGACATCTATTTTCTGCCGGATCGCAGGCTGTCTGACCTGGGGTATGCAGACGACATGCTGCTAGGTGAGAATCCAGTTAATTTGCAAGCTTTTCTGTTTAGTTTGAGTGATAGCATAGTTATGTTCGACATGCATTTGGCACCTTCAAAGTGTAAACGGTTAGAGGACTATTTTGGTTCAGCTCAACTGGGGAAGTAATATAAGTAGTGAACAAATTTGGCCACCTTGGCAGGTAAATTTTGCCCGGCGAACATATCATAAATGAATTATCGCAAAATTCTGGGTAATCGCGGTTACCCACTAGAGGAACTGGTTGATCTCAATCGACTGCATTAGTTATGGGCATGTGCCACGCATGTCACCTTATAGATTGCCACGGTGCGTGCTGTTGGTCGAGGCAGGTGATGGGTGAAGAAAAAACGTCAAAGCTGTTCAAACTCGGGCCTGATATAAGGGCATAAAACCCGTGGCTAAGAGACTTGCTCATATAAACTTGAATGGTGACATTGGGATGATTGTAAACAATGGTTAGTGATGTTGAGTGATATGGCTATCGTAAACGATCCATTGTCCTTGCAATCGTAGTCTTCTTAAATTCTTTATATTCCCCCTGGCACTGATTTGAACATGCCAATCTTCCCTTTACTTTATTCCCATGGCAGTCATGAGACAGCAACCGAAACCGACACACGAAGGTGAATGGCTAATGGCTGTAAACTTCATTTTGCAAAGGTCAAGGATAAAGATCACCAAATGATCACGGTGTAAGATGTATTCAAATCCTACCGCTACCGTTGAAGTTTCCAGTTGTCTGTGTTATATGGCGACCTTTTGATTGGTCGCTTCCCGCTACTGAAATTTGTCATTGTATGTTCAATAAAAAGGAATAAAGTAATGGCGGTGACGGAGGAACAACGCTTAAATATGTCTGCATCAAGTCCATCGAAACTGGTGTTATGGAAATACGCTTAGACGCTCCTCCTACAGATCGGAAATGGAGCGATGATAACTTCTGGTTAGTGGGAAGTAAGACCTGATTACAAAAAAGCTTCATGTCGATTTTATAAGCAGGCATTTCATAGTTTGTTGTGTTTGATGTTTCAGAGTCACTCTAGAAAGAGGATCTGGTGAGCATACGTCAACGTGCAGATTTCGAGCCGACGGGTGACGTTAGAACACAAATATATAAATCGTTGAATTTTTCCATTAAATGCTATCTTCTGGATTAGTGCGCTTTGTTCCGCGGGTTGGATGGCGTTCTCTAGGATCTTCAACTCACGGCCTCTCGAATGATGTTCCGTAGGTATTGTGTTTCATGTGATATGCGCTTATATGCAGCAAATTACAACAGAGTGATCCACAATTAGAGCCAAAGAAATACAAACCGTACAGCCCGTTCCAGAACACCGAAAACAAGTCACAGTATGTGGTGGCTCGTTTGGATGATCTGGTTAATTGGGCAAGAAAAGTAAGAATGTTTCAGTTATCTAACCGTTGTTAGAACTCGTTATGGCCTTTAACCTTTGGGCTGGCTTGCTGTGCCGTTGAAATGATGCACATCGCTGGTCCGCGTTACGACATGGACCGTTTCGGAGTTGTGTTTCGAGCAAGCCCCCGTCAAGCGGATGTCATCATTGTTGCCGGCACACTCACCAACAAAATGGCCCCTGCTCTGCGTCGGATCTATGATCAAATGACATCCCCCAAGTGGACTATTTCGATGGGCTCTTGTGCGAATGGTGGTGGCTATTACTTTTACTCCTACAGTGTTGTACGAGGATGCGACCGAGTTTTGCCAGTGGACATTTACGTACCTGGTAAGTATTGAGAAATTCGTTACCTACCATAACTGTTTATTATCTCACCCCCCCCCTCATTCTCTGTTGTTCTCCTTGCGTTGGAATCGTGCTTATTCGCAAGTCGGTGATACATATTTTTTATTGTACATAATGTGAATTAAAAGGGGTTATCCGCAGTGACAAAAAAGAAGAGTAAGAGAACATCTTCGTTAGATCCAGTTTACGGATTCTGCGTTTTAAGAGTGCAAGGTTGTAAATTAGAGGAAAGACAGAAGTGGGAGGGTGTTCCACAACTTGGCAGTTCGGAGGAGAAAAGAGATTTGGGCAGAGAGGTACGACATCGGGGAGCTCCAATTTGATAAGCATGACTGGATGCCTGTGTACGGGATGGGCGAGCAAAACTCAAATGAAGAGGAAATACCGAAGCACGTTCCGAAGAACTGAAAACAAAGTAGCGACGATAGAGCAGAGCTTTGTATAGTACTAGATGAGCGCGAAATAAAAAAAATAATCGTAAGCACAGCACGAGAAGCAAGTTGAGCCAGCAAGTCACCGGTGGAGCGACGCTGTCAGAATTCATCCTAGCGGTCGCTCAGTACTACTTCACATTAGAGGAAGTGCCTAGTTGGTCGGAAATGATAGTTTCGAATACCGAAAAAAATGTGAGGGAAACGGGTCGGTAATTGTTGGGGTCAGAAAGGTTGTCGCGTTTAGAAATGAGTAAAATCACGGTGTGTTTCCAAGGGGTTGGATAAGAAGAAAGTTGGAGAGAAAGACTGAAAAGACGTAGAATAGGGGCCAGCTGGGGAACACATATTTTGAGAGCGTTGAGTGGAATACCGTCCGGACCGGGTGGTTTGTTTGCACTATGAAGAATTTTCCTAGTGCTAATATGAAGTAAAAAAGGGTTGCCAGTGGAAGAAGAAAACGGAGGCAAAGCATAAATGTCTAAAATGGAGTTGGTGGCAAACTGGGAAGCAAAATCCTCAGCCTTCTCTTGTGGTTGACGTACAAGATCATCTGAGGAATCACAGATAGTGGGGTGTCGGAAGAACAGAAATTAGGGGAAGTTGCTTTGGCAAGAGACCAAAGTGTTTGGCTACCGGTGACGGACGAAATCATGTTTCCGGCTTTACAGCGAACGGAGTCTTCCTCGGTTTTCTGAATGGCTATCGAACATCTGTTCCTAGCTTGCACGAAGCAATGGTGGGAGTCGGGGGGTGGGCGAGCGGTTTAGGCGTACAGCACAATCACACCACTCGGGTGACCTGTGTTTGCTGGGTTTGGAAAATGCGGAAAAAAAGATGCATGCCTTTAAGAACAAATTCGGTGAAGTTTTTAATAGATTTGGGAACATCCGAAGAGAAGGAATAATCGTTCCAGGGATAAGAAGCTAAGAAATCACAAGTCGGCGAACTGCAGTTGTTGAAACAGTCTGTGATACGAGGGGACAAGCTATTCACAATAGGAATGAACGACTTAATCGCTCGGCAGAATACTTCAGGGAACAGTTCAGCCTGGCTTGCCGCTAACCAGGTTGCCTCATCCACAACTGAAGCTCCTTGGGCAGTGTCACGCGATCCTCCAACGGAAGCAGAATTTCAGTCTTGTATTCAGGCTCTAGAGCGAGGAAAGGCAGTAGGACCGAATGGACTCCTACCCACTCTTTTCAAGATGGGAGGTGATAACCTTTTGGCGCAGTGGTTTAGTCGCTGTCACTGGCGTACTTTGGACCCTATGGTCCGAGGTTCGAGCCCCGCCACCGGCACCCAACTTTGGTGGTAGACAGCTTTATTGTCGTTCGGTTCAATACCACGCGTAACCTATCGGGGCCTTATGTGGTTAACCACTCCAAGTCTCGGGGCTTAGGTTACCGGTATCCATGATTATGGAGTTCGCTCCGTCTGCTGTTCACCACACAAATGTGTGTGTTGAGAGCAGATTTAGGCGGAAGCGCCTAAATCTGCTCTCAACATTCTAATCATCATTCTGCTATTGTATCCAAATCGGCAACCAAAAGACAGCAACCAAAGCCGGCGCACGAAAGTGTATGGTTAGCGGTTGTAAAAACCGAACCGAACACAAATGTGTGTAAAAATAGTGTATTACTACCTCAGTGCGGAACATTTGGACGCAACAGCGCATTCCTTCATCTTGGGGCGAATCACTGATCGTTCCCATTTTCAAGAAAGGATCTCGCAACGATTGCGAAAACTACTACGGGATTAGTTTGATCCCGATCGTCACCAAAGTGCTAGCTTCGGTTATTCTTCGATATCTAACGCCTTTAAGAGAGATCAACATCCGTGAACGGCAAGCCGGATTCCGTTCTGGCCGTGGATGTATTGATTAAATTTCTACGTTGCACCAGGTCATTGAGCAGCGTCACACCCACCGCCGACCAACGAACGCAGAGTTCCTTGACCTAAAAGGAGCCTTCGACTCCGTTGATCGCGGATCTTCGAAAAGGAATGCCCCGGAAGTGAGTTAACTTAATGAGGTCAGTGTACTCACATACCTCTGGTCGTGTAAGGGTCTACAACGAACTAAGTAGGCCATTCGTCACAGAGCCATTAGGTAGAGTAGGTGTCTCTCGCCTTTTAGGTCGGGGTCCGAAAGACTCCACAACCGGTTGTTCGGAGACACTGAAGTATATGGCAACGAACCGACAGCAGTGGCGTTCTTGTCATTTCCTATCGGTCCAGAGCGCTTGAAAAGGTATGCATTAGGATTTCCGATATGCACTCTGTGTGTTGACCACAGTAGTTCACCTCCCTCCCTCCCTCAAAGTAGGTCAAATCCCTGAGCACCTTAAATTTTACCACTAATCTTGTATACATTGCTAATTAGGCAGCGGTCAGTGAAGTTCGATTCACTGTATGTCGCGGTACGATGATGATGTGGATATTCACAATGAATCACGGAAACCGTGCCAGTTAACTGATTCTCAGTCCAAGAATGTGTCTCGCGGTGGGTGGCGGATCAGTGTTGACTAACCTAATGACGTAGGAAACAACAGGGTGATCCGACGAGCAAAGCGGAGGGAGAGTACAATTATCTAAGAAAAATGGAGAGATTGATGTGAGAATTAGATCCAGGATGTGGACCCGATCGCCAGCTTAATCTGGGATACGTGTGGGAAAGTTGGCTCAGGTTGTTGACAAAAGCGAATTGTCCGGCTTCGCCCCCCAAAGAAGAAATAGCAGATGGAGGTGTCAACCACTCCTGATTATGAACGTCAAAACCTCCCAAGACGATAACATGGCAACTGAAGTCGGTTGTAAAACAAGTGTTGAATGTTCAAAGGTAACAAAATCAAAGAAACAGGAGTTACCACTATCGATATAGACCCCAAAAGCAATGAATAAAAGGAGAAATTTGGAGCTTCAGCCACATCAACTGAAATTCACAATTGGAAAATTCCGGATTTACGATCCTAAAGGTTGCCATTGCTTGGTGAATAAAGACGCAGACACCAAAATTTGGGTAGAAAAAAGAATGGAAAATGTAGTTGGGTACTTGACGGTTGATGGTATCTGACGAGAAGGCGTTTTGTGTTTCCGTCAAAAAGAACGAAAGGGGAAGAATGGAGGGACTAGTATAAAGAATCAGTATTGCGGTTTAGTCCATGAATGTCGATGAGTGCGTGTTTTCAGTGCGATGCATAGAACGAACGAGAGAATGTGAACATTTGTGATTTTTTACTGTCATGTTTATATTGTGGGAAGGAAACCGGCAACCATGATCCCGAAACAGGGTGGCGGATCATACAAGGATTCCATAGTTAGATTGAGGTTGGGGATGAGCCAACATAGTCTTCCAGTGACATTTTACAGTTTGAAGCTGCAAAACATACCAAACATGGATACGCTTGTAATCAAACTGTCCAGAACAGCTTGCAACTTACCTGGGTCTTCACTCAGTCTGCATACTCCAGATCAGTCAGTCTATCACTTGAGAGCAAATCGGTGCCACTATCGACGGATAAGACAGCTCTGTTGTCTTCTGGTTGAATATCACGCCTAACCTAGTAGGGCCTTATTAGTAATCAGTTTCCATCAATGAACAACAGGGCCTAGTGACCGTGCGGTTTATCTCAACTTCTGTTTATCGCACTGAGGTGTGTAATAATAAAAAAACGAGGATAAGGCGGTTTTAAGAGTCATATCTATAAGAAAACTGAATAGGGACGAAGAGAGAGGACAGCTCTGACGAACACCTCTTTCTGTAGTGAATCGGGCTAAAAAGTGCCGTAAGCTCGGACTTGGCTTCTGCGCTTAATGTGAAGAGACCGCCAAATGGAAATTAACTTCTCGGACGTACCCTTCAGAAAGAAACAGCGCAAACGTTTAGAGTGATCAACTGGGTCAAAAGCCGCCTTCAGATCGAGGAGGATAGAAATAGTGGGTCTACGGAAGAAGTGTCTATGTTCGAAAATTTGGCGAAGGGTGAAGATTTGATCTATACAACATTTACCAGGTTTAAAACCAATCTGATTCTCATTTACGCACCGTTCACGTGCGGCAGACAATCGACGGAGTATAACACCAGAGAGAAGCTCACAGGCAATGTTGATTAAACTAATCCCCCTGTGATTTTCACTATTTTCTACAAATCGTTGCCCTTTTTGGNCTGTAGATCAGCTTGCTTCTCGTGCTGTTCGCAGGATTGTTTTTTTTTATAATTTCGCGCTCATCTACTAATAAACAAAGCTCCAATCCGCCCTGCTGTTGAATACTGCAGTCATGTGTGGTGGGGGGCTTTGTCTTCTGTTTCCCTTCTTGATCCTGTTCAACGAAAGGCCATCCGGCTAATCGGTGATCCTTCCCTAACATCCATTCTGCAGTCGCTAGCTCATCGTCGGATAGTTACCTCATTGTCCCTGTCCTACCGATACTAATTTGGTTTTTGTTCTTCGAAACTTGCCCCGGCAGTTCCTCTTCCTGCAAATTTCACCCGCCCATCCCGCACACAGGCATATCTGGTCATCCCTATCGAGTTTCTGTCCTCAGATGTCGTACCTCTTCTCTGATCTTCTCTTTGCCCCTGAACTACCAAACTGTGAAACACCCCCGCCCCCACTTGCTGTTCCCCCTCCCAACTTACAATTTTCAAACAGAATCAATAAACCGGATCGTGAATGTTACCCCTACTCTCCCTTTTACAGTATGCTATTTGTCCATGGGGATTTCCCCGTTTGCTATAATTCACATTGTGCAATTAAAAAAGGTTTGTCGTTGCACCGGATGGCAGCAAAGTTTCCTGCCACAAAAGTTGAATGGTGGGTCGCAGGGTTTTAACCTCGGGTTATTGGTTTCCAAACACGCTGGTGACAATGGCTCAACCACTGCGTTCATTCTCAGCTTTGTTCTGTTCAGGAATAAATCCATCTCAGAATTGCTTTTATATTAATTTGTTTTACTTGGTTATTCTTAATTTCCCGTATGAGAATCACAGCAATCTCTGAATTTTGCTTTATTTTCCAGGTTGTCCTCCTTCTGCCGAATCTCTGATGTTCTCTATACTGCAGTTGCAGAAGCGAATCAAATATATGCACACTCAACAGTCGTGGTACCGAAAATGACTTCGCGATCCTTTAGCATAGTCTCAGTCTAGCATCTCAGGTGTTCTTCGTATGCCTTAATCAGGAATAAATTCTCTTTGTAACATTTTTCTCAATTGTATCTTTATGAGCTGACACTGCACTGAAGTGTTCCCCTATCTGTTAATTCTTGGGCTTTTCTAAAAAATCACTCAATTGTTCTATCGCCTAAAGATCACCGCCAGCGTGATGTTTTGTATAATACAACAATCAATGGAATCAAATAAAGGAACCTTTAAAGCCGGTTCGCGCTACTCAGGCCAGGACTTAGCGGCGGCGTGCCAATTTGTCCAGTTTCTTGCACTGACAGACTCCGTGGGTCCCCTGGTGCTGTAACAACAGGAAGAGAAAAACGTTTTCTGGTAAGTGAGTATTATACAACGACCAGGAGAGACCCCAGTTCGTAGGACTCCAGTCCGAGGTGTTCGGTCAGGTATGGTGTTGCAGCTTGCAGACCCACGGAATGGCCAGACCGTCCATTAGGACCGATAGTTTACAGCAATGCCTTAAGTGACGTCTATAAGAAGGTAAAATAGAGCGAACAGCCTGGAATTCCTTTGGAGATTGAAGGGATACTTATAAAAAGGAGGACGTAAATTTGGGAAGATGCATTGTTTTAATTGATGGTTGGAGGTCCCGGAGTCAGCTGTATCCAAACTGTTCAACTCGCTCCCTCCTCAAACAATGTGCTCCACATGTGGTTAAGCTTGCGCTTGGAATCTACTATCGATTTGGCAGCAATTACTTCATCCAGCAGCTTGTTCCAATCGTTTACCACACCAGCCACGAAGGACAACGCCCTCAGGCCTGTCCTCAAGCCATCTTTAAGCAGTTTTAAAGCATGTTCTCTCTCAGGTTTACTGCCTTTCTGAGCTTGAGCAGCGCTCCTGTTACGTCCTTTCAGGATTTCATAGGCCTCGATCTAGTCACCGCGCCGCCTATGCCTTCTCAACGGGACGAGGTATAGAGCTTCGAGACGCCTATCCCATTAGAATTGTCTTGGTGACATCAAATCGAACTGCTCCTCACCACGATTTGAAGTGTACGTTTCCCAGGATTTCATTCTCATACTTCGCCGCACTGTTCGGTTTCCATGGGTTTACTAAGCTTGATGAAACGTGTCACCTAGATCTATCATTCACAGCGATTACCTCCTCGCGAAATTCGACTCTTCTCTTCCTTGCGTTCTGTTTGTTTTGTCATTTAGCCACTTTTGCAGTCGACCAGCGAAAAAATAGAGCCAAAAAACAAGAGCAGTACGAAGAATGCTAGGTGTGTCGAGAGTGATTGATTATATGCAAAACACTGTAACCCCGCAGACTAACTAAGGCACGCATTCACCGGACGACTATCTGCGCTTGGTAGCCTTAGGCATAAGATATTGAAGACTTGTAACCTAGGGGTGTTAGAGTCTTGATGCCCACAGTAGATCCCTTAGGTTAATTGATGTGATAAACCATCAAGAAAACTTACCACAGCGACATTGCGCGAGCGTCTCAGCTTATACAGCGAAGAAAATTGCCATAGATCAACCGTGTTCTACGTTTTCCAGCCATAGAACTCGTGGAGTTGTGCAGCGCCTCTTACGACGCCTGGGCAGGCACTGCTACTGCTGTTCAGGAGGATTTCAGCTGCTCGATCAACTGCGCTTAGTCTTCGTCCGCTGCTGTCAAAAATGTAGGCTTCCTTAGGTGAGTCTTTGGTTGGTTTGAGTCAGCACTGCTCCCACGTTTGCTATCAGTGTACATTCGACCGTACAGAGTACGCCAACCAAGCCTGGAGCACATGGTTGCAATGTGGCCGCAAGATGCTTGAGCGCCCACAAAGAATGGTCAGCGGGGTTGCATTGCTTCACCTGTGAGGCGAGATTACGATCATTGGGACTATATTCTGCTCAGTACCGCCCAATTTGGAGAGACTTGATTTGGACGTACCAATACTGCGAACCCGAACCATCCATGTCGGCAGCTGCTCATGTTATCGAACAGTGTACACCTTGGGGGACACCGTTTCAAGTTACTGATTCCAAAGTGTCGACTGGTGTTCCGGCACCAATGTTTTGCTGTCAGAGTATGCAGTACTCCGAATGCCCTTCTGTCTCACGTACTATTGAATCTTTCAAGCATAGTCTCGATGAGACCTTGGTACACTTCACATTCCTACACCACTAAAAGCAAACACAAATTCACTAAATACTACATTCTTTATTATCTCCTACCTGGAACTCTTCTTGTGACTTCCTTTTCGGCGTGTAACGATCCAGTTGTGTAAATATCCTATGGTGACAAGGGAAACTTGTAAATAATTCCTATCATAAGACTTTGACGGAATAGTCAAATGGAACTCCAAACTATTTTTTCCCTTCACCGTAGGCACTAAGCAACGATGGCATCTAATAAAGCTCTAATTGTCATGTATTCCGTTGGACGTCATTGTTATCCCCAGTCTTGAGATGCCGCAAGCCAATGAGCCCATAGGTAGTCATAGTGAATCAGACTAAGGCGCTTACCATGTTCCTACTGTTCCTCTCTGTTGATTCCCAGCAGTCACCCAATTCTCACTTTTGGCTCCACGAGATCGCTCACATTTTTCAGCGGCGGAAACCTAACTTCTTTTCGTACCAGGTGAGGATAACTGAGTTCATCGGAACCCAACTTCACGCATGCATTTTGAATGGTTCCGACAGATTGGGTGAGCGATA